TGAATAATGCAGAATCATACTCAAGGCTCCAAGGTGCTAAATGGTTTGTGGTAAGTGGTGACTTCCTGTGACTCAAAGCTCGATGTTTTTGTGGTTCAGTCAGGTCAGGATCCTCATCAACCTGTCATTGCACCTGTTGACCTGTAAAGCCCTTTGGACCTGCACTTGTATGCCTTCAACAATCTGTAAAGTTGCAGTTGACAGATTGTCCGGACTTGACGCTTGACCTTTTGGATGTCAAATGCCACCACTTTATCATTTTAATATTATTACATGGGACATGTGCGTGGAATTTTGTCATAATTAATGTCTGAATCCAAAGTAAGGTTAAATGTCAGGATTATATTTACAGTTCGGAAGTTAAATTATTGTCAAGACGTGCAAAACAGGTCATGTGTGTCCTTCCTTCATGAGACGCTACATAGAGTTGGACAGCACTAGAGATTTGACTCATCTTGTCCTTGTGGTGATATTTAAAGGTCAAAACCACCATGTGTACAATCACCGGCCAATCACGCCTACACACACATGTTTACATTCAAACATGGCTCAAGAAACCCAGATGACAGCACAGTGCTGAGTGATCTTACACATGCATGAAAGAAAGAACACACACATAGCTCACTCAGCCAGACAAGACTGCAAAGTTGAAGGACAAATATGAGTGTTATCAACATTATTTGTGGGAGTGTAAATGAGTACAAGGCAGATGCAGGGCGATGGTGGTGCATGTGATTTCTTGATAGTCAAACTTGAAATCGTTTTCAAATTTCACGTTTCCTATTATAAAGAGATAAAGTCTTTCCACATTAAAAATAGAGCCAACCCAACAGGTGCTGATATACCTTGAACCCTAAGCTTCTACACCTATGACTCTGAAGGAACTACAAGCTCAAGTGGCTTAGAAGGGAGAGACTACGCATACAACAACTTTTACTTCATCAGCAGTCAATGCTTTTGGGAGCGTGGTAAAGAGAAAACTACTGCTAAAAAAAAAAAACTATTAGTATATCTCTACTAGAGTTCATCAGAAGACACATGGGGGACTCTAAAGCCAACAGGAAGAAGGTTATTTGGTCTGATCAGACTAAAAGTTAGCTTTTTGGTCAAACTTGGCTCTATGTTTGGCAGAAACCAAAGGCTGCACACCATCACAAACACAGCAACCCCACCATGAAGCATGGTGGTGGCAGCATCATAATGAGGGGATGCTCTGTTTTAACTTTGACACAAAAGAGTCTTTTTGTAAATTCTTGTCAAAAAAGATAAATCATATTGAAATTTATCAAGTAAAGAAAAGCAATCAAAGGAGAAAACTTCCAGGAGTGTTGAAAACTTTTTATAGTCACTGTTTGTTGTTGTGTAAACATGTAAAAGGTCCTGCGAGCAAGGCTAGCACCAGTACTATTTTGGCCATGTCTACTGTTGAAAAAAATTGCCTCAAAAGTGCCACAGAGGACATAACGGGACACACTGTCATCACGAGCCAAAAACACAGTTTCCCCTGTTAACATGTCAACATTACAAATGGAGTCCCTACATATCATTACCCAGAAAGGAGCTAAACTTGCTGACTAAAACTGTGTTTCAGTGTGGATGCAAGGTCAAAGAACACAGAAAAAGCTGTGTCTATTAAGAAATACAGTGCATTTGAGCTCAGATAGAAAATTGGCTCATCATATGGTCCGCACCTACACATACACAAACAAAATATATAAACGGTGACAGATAATTCTTTATTTCCATATATACAGCTCATTTAATATTCTTTGGAAGTACATGGGTTTTATCTGTAGCTTGCACATTTTTGTGTTTCAGCTGGGGATTGGACTTTTTTTTATTTTGAAATTATGTGCATTTTTTCAGATTTGAGTTTGGGATTAAATATCTTTTTTAGCTTGATCAGCTAGTATATATATGTGTTCCCTTTTGTTTATTATTCATCTGGTCAGTTACTTTGTCATCAGCCTAAGTTAAGTTCATTTGACTCCTTGTATGGGCCCACAGCTTTATGGCTTGTTTTTTTTTTTTAAAAAAAGAAAATTTCAAAAATTAAACACTTATTTTCAAAATCCTCCCTTGACTTTGGTCCCTTGACTGACCCCTGGCACCGGCAGCAGAATTGCCCTTGAGGCCGGCTTTACAGAGAGGATATAGGAGGTAGAAGGCAGGATATATATACAAGTTTCAACTATGTGTATACTTGGCAATGCTGTGTAACTAGAGCTTATTATCCCTGTGGTGTGAGGGGGGTGGATGCGAGGAGGGGTTCACTGCACACAACCACTCAGGACACCCACCGAGTTAAACTGGGAACAGATATGAGCCACACAAGCTCCAGCTGAATTAACTCCATTTTGTTAGTGAAGGGAAGAAATGACTGTATTGTTTGTGCTATAATGACTGTTTTAGAGGAACCAACATCATTCAGAATTGCAGGTTGCTACACTGTAATCTGGCATTCTGTGTGTGCCTTGTAATTGTTGGCATGCAGTGACTTAACCTGAACAGTCATACAGAATTACAAGTCTTTAGCTACGCATGGACACCTACTAGACTCAAAAGCCTATATTTAAAAAAAAAAACACTTTGGTTTATGGTTGTTTTCCTCTGCTCTGTCAAATCAAATCATCACACAAAAGGCTGTTAACCAATGTAAAAAAGTGAAGAAGGATGCTTCAAAACAGCTGGGAACACCCTTTGGCTTTAAAACAGCAACTCAGCGCATTTGCACAGAGATTTTCAAGGTACTTGGCAGGTTGGTTGGAGTTCTTCTGTGGATTTAATGTTTCAGTGTCTGCTTTCTCTTCATGTATTCCTGACCAACTCCATAATGTTGAGATCAGAGCTCTTTGGGAGCCGCACCATCGGTTGCAGGACTTATTTTCATGCTTTATAATGAATTTGAGCAATCAGATGATATTATGTGATAGAGAAGCATTTAAACATCTCAAGTTATAGTGGCATTGAGGCAAGTAGACATATAATCTCACCCACATCCTTCTCAATGCTGTAATTTGAAAGATCAGAAGAAATCTGAAAATGTAAATTAGCTAAATTCAGTCTGTGTACAAGTTTAAATGTGTTCTTTATGTATATATATATCATCTTGTTTACTTTAATCTTCATGTCAATAAAGCAAATTAAATTGATTTAAACCAGCCTCTCTAATTGTGATTTTTCAAAGGCTCATCAGTTCTAAATTAATTTATACTAATTATCTAAACTTATTTCTGTATGGGTGGTCTAACATCTGTGTTGCAGGTAAAATAAAAGTAGCATCAAAATGTAAAAAATAAAGTGATTTGTGCATAAGCAACAAAATTGTACGGGTCAAAATGACAGCCAATAGAACGACATGTTGACCAATGAAATCATCACAGCCTCCTTGCAGGTGCATTACTTCTATCGGCATCCTTTACTGTATAACCAGGTTGACCCACTCCCATCCTCCAGGACCTAAAATACGAACATCTGGTTTGTTGTTGGAATTTTGGAGTCAATACATAAATCATAATTTACAGTTTTACTATAATAGCTAGATTTAACAGTAGCCCCATGGCACACTGGCTTCTGTCGAGTCGCATTGCGTCGCAAGAGGAGAAAATTAGGTCACTTAGGTTTTTTACAGCACCTCTTATGGAAAGCTACAGTGCAGATCTAGCAGCACAAATCGCCCAAAGACCTCAACTAAATGTTTTGTTTTAATGGTGTTATCACTTTGCTCAACTTTAATTGGTAAAGACGTATTTGTAGCAGGGGAATGCAAACATGATAACTGGCTTGGCTTTCAGGGGTTAATTACGCTTCATGATTCAAACACTGTTTCTGGGAAACAAACAAGAAAATAATACATGTGTCTCTGTTATTCTTGTCTCCAAATCTCAGCTTGCTAAAACATTAGAACGCAGTGACGATTTCATTGGTCAGCGTCAAAGCTGGCATTCTATTGGTTGGAGACTTTTAACAAAGATCAGAGAGCATGAATCTGAGGAAACAAGTTTCACGAGTGCAAAGTAGCAGTGTGAGGCACAGGAAATGTGTGCAGCTGCAGAATACATGAGTGCAGGCGGTTTTGAGCAGAAGAGGAGCACATGTGCATTCAAAAAAGACGACTTGAGAGAGAGGTTGGGGTTTTCAGTGAAGAAATAATGCTCTCAAAGTGAAAATCTTGATTAACCTCCCATGACCTAAACTCTTGTTTGATATGCTTTTTTTTTTAAATTATTATTTCTGTTTGCTATTTGAGCTTATTGGAACCTGATAAGTATAAAATCTAAATATCATCATAGATGGTAGTGTAAGTGTCCACACATGAGACCATAAAGCCCCAGTTAAGCAGAATTAACTACTGTGGTAAGATAACCCAAAATGTGATGTCCATTCATGTGGTGCCAGATCAAAAAAGATCAGGCGCTATGTTGATTGATGCTGCATCATCTCCATCATGAAGCATGGTGGTGGCAGCATCATAATGCTTCTCTACAACAACTGTAGTGTCAAGATGTTGACTGAGACCTACCCACACGGGCTCAGTGCTTTAACTGTGCAAAGGTGCATCGACTAAATACTGACTTGAAGGGGGTGAATGCTCATGCACTTTTTTTTTTTTTTAATCAGTTGACTACTTTGTAGAAATCTGAGTCTTTTTGTAAATTCTTGTTAAAAAAAAAGACCAACTATATTGACCACTGGCCTAGATGTGTTTGTGTCAACAGTCTTCCTGTCAGAGTATACATATACATTAAAAAGAGGCAGACATTGGTGTTAAGGGGGGCGTCTTCCCCCGGTTTATCCTTCCTGGTAATGACTGACTCTACCTACACAGACTTATCTGCAAAGCTCAGCCAAAATATGTATGCTGCTTCATGTCTGCCTCTGAGGCTCTCCGTCCGTCTTTCTGACGTCAGAGCGACGCACGGCTCCTCCGCCCTCTGATTGGCCGCCGCCGCTCCGCCCTCCTCCAAGGTAACTTGTTGAGAGTTTCGGGCGGAGTCGAGGAGCAACGGTTTATATTGGGGAGCGCGACAGCGGAGCGAGCCGGGTGCCTCTTCAGCGGGTCGGGACTCGGGTGACAGTTTAAGAAGAAAAAAAAAAATATTACAAAAAAAAAAAAAAAAGAAGAAGCAGAAACTGTTTGCGGGGGAATAAATCAACATGCCTTCGAATAAAGATGACGGCGGCTGGAAGAAGTTTGTGTGGGACTCGGACAAGGGCGAGTTGCTCGGCCGGACCGGCGGCAGTTGGTGTGAGTACGGTTGAAGCTTCGGAGGAAACGCGTGTTCACGGGTTGTTGCCGGTCGCCTCGTGTTTCCTCCCACCTGTTTGATTTGACTTTGCTGCAGGAGCAAAACTGCGTCACGTAAAAATAATAAGACGTTTAAAGAGAACGAGAAAAACAAAACAAGTGTCAGCTCCTCTCAGTGTCTCTCCTCAGAAACACGCGTGATGAATGAATGTAGATTTTGTCATTTAACCGAGCAGGTGATGTTTGCTCATTCAGGAGGCGCTGCGGTGCGGAGGAGAGCCGCTGATGATTGGAGGTCCACAGAGGCAGTTTGTTGTCGGGGAAACGTCAAGTTGTCTTTCAGCAGTTTTTTTTTTTTTTTCGGAAACGGGCAGGCAAGGGGTTAAAAATGCATCATAGTCCAAGGTGAGTCAAGGTGATCGGGCCTGCTCGGATATGGAGAGAAGGGACTATCGATCCGTGTCGGGTTCCTCTGATCAGATGTCAGTGTAATCTAACGAACAATACAACTGATTAACTTGTTCGACCTTCCTTCTCCTGTTTCCCTGGCAGCGGCACTGCGCATGTCCTTGTGCCTCCTCTCAATGTCACAGCTCCTCGGTCCAGTCTAGACAGCAGCACCTGTGCTCAAAGTCCTGTTTCAGGAGCAGGATGCCTGCTCTGCTCCTGCAGGAGCTCCTGAGCTGCTGCTGCACATCAGCCCCAGCTGGAGCTCCTGTTTGTCCTTCTGAGGTCATCTAAAAGTGCTGATGCATCTGGGAAGTGTGCCATGCGCAGTGCTGTGCTGAAGGTTGAGATGAAAGGACATCCCTAACCTGAACCAAAGAGTTTGAGCCACCACATGAAATCAGCTGTGTTGTTACGCATTTCTGCATAATATCCATGAGTGGAATGCAAATCGTCTTCGTGCTGCGTTTGTGTGTGACACGAGGTGCTGTAGATATCTCAGGAATGTCAGGTTTATGGTTCCCAGAGGAGCGTTTATCATATGTCCTTGCATCTAACAAGCTCAAGTAATGTGTCATGTATTAGTGAGGGCAGGCTGATGTGACCTTGTGACATTGCCTCATGCAGCAAAATGCAGGACTGATGTATAGCCTGAAGATATGAAGAGTGAACCTATAGTTTGCTAGCTGCAAGGTTAACTTCCACTGAGCTTTCTTTTATTGCTTCCCAGTACAGCTAATGGAATTTGTCATGCTAAAAACTGATTAGTGATGAGCCAGCAGTGCTGTGACTCCCTACCACCTTGCATGCACATGCTGCACAGCTGAATTCCTGTAAATCTGGAAAGACAGTTCCTGCCACCAGGATCATGTTATCATGAATGCTGGGTTGTAAAGATGACCATAAAAGACGACATTGTGTTGAAGGTAAAGGGGCGTTTCTCACTTTAATGGAAAACACATTTAGGCATTAGAATCAGATTTGGTTTTATTACCAAGTAGGTTTTCACATACATGGATTTGATTAGGCGTTTTGCTGCATAGCTGTAAAACACGGACGAGAGGAAAAGTTTTAAAGTAGGATAGAAGATTGAAAAAGCAAGCATGGCAAATCAAAGTAGTGAAAGTCATGTTTCCAGTGTCATTCAACTAACACATTTTCAAGAAAATTTCTTTTACATATGGAGGAATCTGTACAATACCAACAGTACTTTATGTTTTTGTTATTTCCCTCTTGTATCCCTGCAAATTTCCCAGCTATGGGGAAAATAAAGACTTTTATCTTGTCTCTTACCTTCTCAACAGTCATTTGTCGTCTTGTCCCAAGCAGCAGCTCCGTTTGACTTTTTTGCCAAATCTCTGCAGACCAATTGAATTTAAAGCACCAAATTATTGATTTCAAAACTCTTTATCCCCTCTGAAGTTAGTATTCCCCAGAGACACAGTTGGCAGCACCTGCAGCGTTGAGTCTGGATGATGTATGAGCCTGCACGCTGCACTTTTGTCTCTGCGTGCTTGTTCAAGCTCTGTCAAGTTGCACAGTTTCTGGGAGGATGCAGTCCCCGTGCAAACACTGGATCCTATTTTATGGTCTCCTTGTGTTTGGGTTGCAGCCTGGTAGGGGTTCTGCTGCCTTCTTGTGACCTTTTATTCTCCTCAGCATGTAGCTGCTGCCAGCAGGCTTCCCTCTCGGGACGATGTGTTTCCCCTGATGTGTGGTGTTTAGCGTAAACCAATTATAGCTGTCCCTCAATGACCAACGAGCCTAATAGAGTTAATTAATGTGTGCAACTTTATAGTCTCATGAAGCCATAAAGCCTTCTGCCGCTCCTCGGCTGCCTCCTGCATGCCTTGTGGCAAACACAAGCTGATAAGTCATGTGAGGCTTCTTTCAACAGCACCGTTTTCTTCACCACACTGACACACACAGTGACACATGTAACGCTTAATTTATATTTACTCTCTTGTCAGCCGAGGATCTTGGCAACCTCGCTCATCAGTGCTCCTCTCACTCACAATTCATTAAGATAACGAGTGTGTCTGGATGTTAACAGACAAATAAGCAGTTTGTTTAACCTAAAATAATCACCTGTCACACCTTAGTTACACACAGACTGCAACAAGAAACCCTTACCACACTGAAATGTTTTGCACCAATGGACCGTAGAACAAGGTGGTGAATGCCTCTTTTTTTTTTCTTTTTTTTTTACACACCGTGTCAGTCCACAGTTGTGCAACTGTTATCAGTTATTGTAGTGTTGCTCAATCATAGTGTGGCTCTTGTAAACCTGTTGACCTGTTCACAGCGAACACCTTCGTCTTGGGTTTTTTCCAGTTTGACAGCTTCTAACAGTGACAACACACTGTAGAGACAGAATGTAGCGAACGTTAGAGGATAACATTGTGGCTTTTTCTGTTTAGTGGAAATATATACAGTTATATAATCCTGTCTGGTTCTATTACGAAACTTGTAGTGTGCTCAAAACAATGGTTTCCTGTGGTGTCATTCGAAAGTGTCCAGATAATTGTGTTGACGACACGATTTTTGCACCAACTATAAACCACTGTGATGTGACCTACTCGCTGTAGTTTAACCTTTAAGCTCTCTGGAGAGTGTTGACACATTCTTTACTTTTTCTCCTTCACAGTCAAAATTCTGCTGTTCTACGTGATTTTCTACGGATGCCTGGCAGGGATCTTCATCGGCACCATCCAGGCCTTGCTGCTCACCCTGAGTGACTACAAGCCCACCTGGCAAGACAGAGTTGCACCTCCTGGTAAGAACCGATACCCACTTCCTGTCAGATCGCGCAGCACTGTGCAGATCTGCCTCGGAGACTCTCAGAAAGAAACCTAATTAACACACTGTTTAGTGACAGCCAAATGAATTAAGTGTGGCTGGGAGATGCAGCCTAAAAATCAATTACAGTCCACAATCAATTCAGTTGATGCTGATAATTCATAATAATTTTTTATCAACATAGTATTAACAAAGACTACAAAAAAGATTTACTTTGAATTTAATCACTTTAACCTGTTCATCAGGATACACAGGTAATGATGTTAGTGTTTACTACACGAAGAAAGAAATGGACATATAATAAATAGGAATAAAGAAGTGATGTCATGCAGTGATGAGCCTTGGGGGGAGCACACCTGGGGTTTGTTCTGGCAACCAAACGTTGCCTTTGAGTGATCTGCTTTTCATTACATCTAATCAAGTGAAACAGCTGAACATTCTAATGGATATTTTTCTTACTTCTTCTCATGAAGTCTATCGTTTCATCACCCAGGGACAGATTAAAGTACCAAGTGGGGTCATGTTATGCTTATAAGAGGATCTTGTGACAACATTTTCTGTACATAGATGGAAGCTAAACCTGCCTGAATGGGTCTGCGTGATGAGTTCCTGAGTTTTTGTAATTCCATATGCTCGCGGTGCTTACTCAGTGGATCAGAGCCTCACTGACCTTGCGGATGTGACAAGACTGTTTTTCATCAGTCTCAGATTAATGCATATGTAAAGCATTCTGGTCAATTTATTTTGGCAGCTCAGCTACATAAATTTGATCCTGAAGCCAACTGCATGTACTTATATTTTTACAGTCTTTTTATTCAGAACTTTTGGATTGTGCATTCAAGTTGATTCTTGACTCATTTTCTTCCTTGAGCAGAAGTTTGTGATGTGCAGTTGCACGGTGAGGTTTCTTTCATGCTGAATTCAGCACATAAATGTGATGACACATGTCCACCACAAGACCAGTGAAGGTCACGTGATCAGAAGCTCCAGATCAGCCACTAAATGGACCCTTGTTGAGGTAGTTTTCTCAGCTACTGTATCTGAGGTCAAGCGTACTCTTCAAATCTCAGATATCATGCACAATGCACTTATCTTACTTGAGTAATGGTAATTTACCTGCAGGTTAGATGTTGTAAAGATACTGATTTATAATCAGATTGCTTATCACACTGAAAAACTACAAGTTGAGGCCATCAGAAACCAAGATATGCTCACAATGCAGTGTCATTGATTCTTTGACGAGGCTTAGAAAGCCAGTGAAGCTTCTCCAAACCTATTGATAGTGCAGTAGCAGAGCTGTTGAGCCTCACAGTGCACGTGCTCACATAGCCTCAGGTAACATGGCTGCATGTTGTTTTGGAAATGAAGTCTTCGTATTATCACTGCCCCGGCGCAGCCTCCCCTGTGTACACACCACAGCCTGGTTTCCATGGCAGGGAGGGCCAGCTGGGGTTTACCAGGCCACACTGAGTCTACGTGGAGTTCAGTCAACGGAGTGACTGTTTGACAGCCTACTTGAATAGGAGGCGTATCTGTTTGTGTTCATTTGAGGTCATCCAAACACAGTCATGTCACATGAAGATCTACTGTCAGTGACCTGGCGTCCTTTCAGCTGATTGGAGTGGACGCAAGTAATCGAGCGGCATGCACTCAGAGTGGAAATGAAAATACTGGTGTGAAAATCTACACAAACTTTCAAACAAAACTCCATTTTAATGCCTCTGTTTATGTTTCACACATGTGTAACTAGCTTGTGTGCCCCTTTATGGAAACAGGATAACCGTGACTAGAAGTACAGAGAACTCAGAAATGTGTTTTGTGTAGCATAACACATTTATTTTACAAAAAACTTCAAAACCCAGAGTCAGCATGTTCAGCATTTTCCCAAGTGACCACAGATGTTGCAAACAATGGAACAAACTGATGACTTTACAAAATATAAGTACTTCAAACTTGCATTCCCTTTGTTTGCATCCTTGTCCCTCATAAGTATAAACAGTGATGACGTCTTTGAATATTTTGTTTATCAGGGTTGTTTTGGGGGCAAATTTTTCAATGAGGCGTGTAGAATAAAGTGGTTCTTGATGAACGATGCTGATTTTAAGCTTAGATTTGGTCGACAGAACCAAAAGTCAAACATGATTAGTTCAAGGACTGTAGTTTGAGAGGATTAATACAGAACTACCGACGCTCACTTAATAAAAACATCAGAAAAATACGAAATATTGGATCCTATAATCTGCCAATCCCTAGTTGATACACATGCAACATGCAGCTAATAGATTAGGTTAGAACAACACATACCAGCAGTTAAAATGTGCTCCTAAAAGCACCGTGTTCCAGTCTGATATTTCTGAAGACGAATCATCAGCTTTCATACCCAGAGTCATGAGATCAGTTTCATCCGAGTCCGAGACATTTTCAGACTATATTCAGCCTGTTCAGCCCTTTTTAGCAAAGAGACTGGAAGCATGAGGAAATACTATCTGCTCCCCGGATGCACAGACATGATACTGATCTTGATCAAATTGTCTGAATGTGCAGAAGTTTCCACATATTTGGTTTTTCCAGAAGGTGTCACACTGAACCATGACATTGAAACTCAAATGTTAAGTTGTCGTTTAAAATTTGATTGAAGACGGGAGGGTTGTTTTTATTCTCTGGTACCAGGATGCGCACATGGAACAAGAGTTTGTTGTGTGTTGGACAGAAATCATGAAGAATGTAGAGTCATTGACGTATTGTTCTCGCAGGCCTTTCGCACACCCCGAGATCTGAAAAAGCTGAGGTGTTCTTCAGCCTCACCGACATGGAGACCTACCTGCCTTACACCAGAGCTTTGAGGGATTTCCTCAACAAGTATGACGACGAGAAGCAGAGGGACCAGATGAAGTACGAGGATTGCGGAGGTAGGTTGCTCTCCAACATGCCATCTGCTCTTTCTGCTTCCAGAAATGGAACAAGAGAGAATCATGTTTCAAGTGTTCAGTGAAAACCTATCATGTCACAGCGGGAAACAAAATCCACAGACACACAAAGAATTTCTACATGTCTCTGCATCATTTATACCACTTCCCCAGAACGCAGCCTGACAGTTTGGTATTCTTGGCAAACTGGGTCTAAGAGGTTAAAGATTCATCTGCTCTGGCAAACCTTCATATCACTGCATGCTGACACCTTGCCTGGGGTCTAATTCAAGCTTGATAATAAACAGGATGTCATGTTCTCAAGTGAAGGAAACTCAGTGGACTAAAAAAAAAAACGGTCTTCAGGGTTTTAGTAGACACATTTCACAATCTGAATTAACCCTTCCAATGCTGTTCCAGAGGAACCTACAGAGTACAAGAACCGGGGCGACTTGGAGAGCGAGGTGGGCATCAGGAAGGCCTGTCGTTTCTCCCGTACCCTGCTGGGCCCCTGCTCCGGCATTGAAGACCCCGACTTTGGCTTCAAGGAAGGCAAACCCTGCCTGATTGTCAAGCTCAACAGGATTGTCAACTTCCGTCCAAGGGTAACTTTAAAGGATTAAGTCTGTTTTGGCAGTTTTTTTGTAATCTGTGATGATGTTAAACACGAGGCTCGCTGAAACACTTTCCCACCTGATATTTACTTATGATCTGGATCATGATATGTGATCATAGACATCTGCCTGCATTGTGATCAAATCTCAGCAGATTTGCTGGTCACAGGTCATGCGACAAACAGCCCAAAGCCACTTGATATATCACACGTTAAACGCCAATCACAGCCAGTGGAGAAGCTACAGCAGCGCTCGCTCATCTTCCCCCGTCCTGACCTTCATCTGTCACAGACCTGTCTGTCAGCGTTCCCTGAAGATGTTAGCGAGGCTGCTGTGTGCTTAGGATGGCTACAGAAACCCAATATTAAACAAGCGACAGGGTTAAATTATTCAAGCTCCAACATCATCACTTCTCCTCCCACTCACGGGAGACGTTTATTTATTTGTTATTGCTACGTGTGTGGTTCACTAGAATCGGATGATGCTTGTTTTCACAAATCTGACGAGTCCAGGAGGAAAAACACAAGCGATCTGTGATAAATCCAGTAAAAGTTAATTGCATACGTCGGATGTTGTTGTACATCAGCAGCCCTCACACAGAGTTAGCTAAATTATACAAACTTGGCTTAATGATTAACCAAGTGGTCAGAGCATCGTCTGAACTGTCTCCGAGCTGCAGATTTAGTGTTCTGACGACTTAAAGCAACTCTGTCTTGGTTTATTTTTACTCTCCTCTAACCTAATGTTGGTGTTGGCAGAAGTAGAAGTGCTCTGTTCTCTTATGTAAAATGATTCATGCCGCAGAGAGAAAGTCCTGTCAAAACAAAAGTTCAGTTTTTAACCTAAAGAGAGGAACATTTAATAGAGAATTTTTGTTCCTAATTTGTTTTTTTTCTCTGAGCACTGTTAATGAACCAGATCGATAAGCGAGTCCTGCTGAAGTAGTCTCAGTGGAGTTCTAATGAAGTCTGTCTCCTAACTGGTCTTCTTTATTCAGCCTCCCACCTCTAATGAAAGTATTCCTGAAGAGGCTCAACCCAAAGTGCAGCCCAATGTGATCCCTATCTACTGCACCAACAAGGTACACGCTTTATTTTTCACTTTAAAACCCGTTTCTCAGAAGGAATTTTCATCCACAAGTCTGCCTGAATTCATCACGTGTCACCTTCGTTTCTTCCAGAAAGAGGAGGACGCCGGTAAAATCGGGGAGATCAAGTACTACGGCATCGGCGGCGGCTTCCCCCTGCAGTACTACCCGTACTACGGCAAGCTGCTGCACCCTCAGTACCTGCAGCCGCTGGTGGCGCTGCAGTTCACCAACCTGACCCAGAACACTGAACTGCGCATCGAGTGCAAAGTGTACGGAGAGAACATCGACTACAGCGAAAAGGACCGCTACCAGGGACGCTTTGACATCAAGCTCCAGGTGAGCAGTTTATGACGGACATCAGGACCGTAGCAACCTTCCCGGACCGCCTCTTCCCCCTCCTCTGCCCCCTAAATACCAATCTGTTGTAGGAGATGATAGCGAGGGGGGGCAGGGCTGTAGCGGTTAAGTCAATCACAACTAGTCTTGAACGAATTAATGAAAGAAAAAAAAAAAAACCTGTTAGGGGACCGATGTGTAATCTGTCTGCTTTCATCACTAGCTTCTACACTTCTGTCTAGCCTTAGAGTGTAATTTAGAGGAAAAGTAGCTATAGGCCCAATTAAAAAAAAAGAAGAAGAAATATTTATTCTGCTGTAAATGAGACTTTTCCACAAGCCATGGGACATTGTTCATCGATGACTATAAAGTGTGCTTCCATCTCCGACGTGTAGCGAGCCGTGTTCGTCCCCTCTGCATATCGCTGCCTTTGTGTGGTTTCAGTAGATAGTTTTGGAGTGTGCAGTAGTCGCAAAAATTCTGGTCCTTCCGAACCACGCTGTTCCTCATTTTGTCGTAAGCTTCAGCAGTTCTACGCGAGTGTGTGTGTGTGTGTGTGTGCGTTTTCAGACTCGAGCGCACGCTTCCATTTACTTAATGATTAAAAACTCTTCTGATCTGTGTAAGGAAAAAGGCTGCACTCCAGGAAACGTCTTTCCTCTTTTATTTGTCTTTTACATCTGATCAGACTCTTTTTTTTTTCGTTTTTGTCCTTTTTTGTTAAATCACTTAAATGTGTGAAGGGGTTTTATTACTTGGTTTAATGCCTTTTTCTTTTGATTTTGCCTTGAATGTAGACTTGTGTGTCCAGCCCGTTAGACACTTGAGCCTGCTGTAAGGAAGGGCGATGGTGCTAACTCAAGTTTTTAAGATTTTTTTTTTTTTTTTTTGCTGGATTTAATACAGCACTGTGGTGTAACTCTCTGAATGTTTTAACCATATGAACATGGTGGAAGAATTTTATATTTATGGAGCTGTACATTTTGTTTCTTTGCAGAATATTGTAATGTATAAATGCAATACCAAAGTGACGAGTTGAAGAGAGTCTTTATCAGAAGCAATGCAGTACGTGTTTTTAGGGTGTCCTCATGTTAAGTGCTAAAGTCAGTGTCTTGCCTTGCAACCTTTCAATGGTTAACTCTTGATTTGTGTTCTGGCCATGAATGTAGTTAGGTGTAGAAAGAACAGGTAACCGGCAGTTTGATTCCAAAACAAACTGCTGTTCATGCATTTTAAGAAAAAAAAAAAAATGTAAAAAAAAAAGTTATTGCAGAGCTCCGTGGCTTTAGAATGATGTTGGCTTTAATATTCCATAGGATCTAATGTTGTAAAACCCTCAACTTGAAGTTTAACATCAGGCAACTTCTCATCAGTTCACCCACCTTTGTCATTTAATCAGAGATAGAAACGAATAAAATCATAATGGACCTTTCTCGTGTGTTTTCTTGGTCTTTCTTTCTATGATCATGTTTTTATGCTCAAATATTTACAGTCTTCATGTATGTCTGAATTGAAGCGTGAAGTTTATTTGCATTCTCAACACTTTAACTTGAACCCAGTTGACTGTAAACTTCCCCTCAACTTTTTTTTTAAATGTAGTTCACAGCTGCAACTTGGGAGCACACACATTTAAAGAACTATAAAGTGAAACTGACAGTAAATGAGGAGAAACGCTGTCACACACATAAAAAACACCATGAAGCTGCATTCATTTGACTGGCACAAGGAAGACATAAGAGTAGATAAATTCTGAAACACTCCTGGATGTGTGAACAACCAACCACCTGACATCAATCTGCTCAGTCATCGTGTACCTTTAAAGCTACACACAAAAAGATGTAACTTTGTGAAACTCCACAGTTGAATTTCAAAAGTACCCGAGTCCATCTAGTCATGTGTGCAGCACTTTTAAGCATGAATATCTGTGTCCTGACTTAGTCCTTCTGTCTGTGTGACCAACTTTGATCCGTCGCCCGCCTCTTGTTTGATGAATGAAAGAGCTGTTGTCGGCTCGGTGGGAGGAGCGGAGTGACTGGACGATTTCTGTTACTGTTCAGTCATTCAGCTCCGAGGCAGGAGGAGGCAGAGGGATCGGTTGCAGACACACGTCTCTGTAATTACAGGAGGAAGCCGCTGTGCAGCCGCTAACACAGGGATGTTGTTTCAGGCAGCAGCAGAGCAGGTATTCAGTCACCAGGAGCCACAGGGGCCAACGGAGGCCGCCAGGTTTATTAAGAAGCTGCTGCATGAACCAGACTCTTTCAACTCGTGTGTTCAGTATCATGAACCGACATCTCGCATCTCGTCTTCACACAAATAAATTTTATAGACTGTTGTAGTCTATAAAATACAGACTTCAGCTACTGTAGAGGAAAAGTCAGTTACAAACACCCAGATAAAGACAACAGCAGTTTGATTTCACAATATTTGTGGCACTAAAAAACTGAAAGCATGTGCAAGTAAAAGCCTGAACAGGTTGTTTTACGGTGAAAAGGCGGTGTGACGGCCCTCCACCAGGTGTTTTTCCTGTTGCAGCAGCTGAGTAGAGGGTTGACGGTTGATTGCGCCACACCTGGGCCCAGTGGCTTATAAGGCCGCCATCATTCCCTCATTCTGTTTCTCTGGGTCGCTCGCAGACAGGTTCTGTAACAGGTGCTCTTTCTGGCAGGAGCTGCCTGTCTTCAGGGACACCTGCAGCATGGTTTGGGGGTTTTGTTTGGTTGTTAGAACACCTTTTAGCCACCACATAGTTGTGATCTCTCGGTTTTTGTTACAGTTTTTGAGCCAAGCTGTAACAGCGGTGAAAGTAGGGGATTGACTTCTGAGAAAATTCCCAGGAACAAAGAAGAAGGAACATTGCACACACCTGAGAGGACATGAAGCTACACATGGAGCAGAGACTCTCAGGTCAAACAAATGAATGAATGAATCAGCTTTAAACACATAAAGATAAACTTCCACAGCCATAACACAGGAAACAAGTGATCCGATTAGAAGCTTTATCTTCATTTCTTTGCGGTGCACAACAACAAAATTCCAAAGACACACCTTGACTTACAACATTTTGGAATTTCACTGCATTGCTGTCTTGTAATGCAATATCGTGACAATGCATCAGATGTAATCCTAACCTAGAGTAGAATCTGGATTTTACTAAAGGATTGGTGAGATGGAACAACTATGAGGAACTATTACAGACAAAAACAGGTGCGGTCAATATAATCCACGAATGAAATCAAATAACAGCAGTTTGGCTCTCACACATGGTTTAAATCTGAGGATTTAGAACTGAAAAGCAACAAATGTAATGTAGAATTCAGTTTACATTGTGGCATAATGTGACAAGAATGTCTGGATGTCATTTATTTTTCATCGTATAAAAGAGTCATAATGCACATGTATTATGATTGAGTGAGGTATAGTATATACATTATTTACCAGTTCTGCTCCCGACATGGTTTGTATGTTCCATGTTTTCCTGAAAAGACGTCTAGAAGCAAACAGCGACAGATCCAGCTGTGCGTCGTCGCTGCATTTTAGGAAGTGAGGCATCCTTCAAGATGCTGCGTTGTATTGATTTCCAGGTCACAGGCAGGAGGACTGAGGAGACGATGAGGCTCAAAATAGAGGAATGAGATGAGCCGGGTATGTTCCTGCAGGGAGCCCAGATGGATCTCTGGTTCCTCTAACATGATGGTATATATTCAGATAGGAGGCGGGTGGTTTTAAATTTGGGTACCATCATATTTTAATGGGAGCAAATGATAAAAGACTTACATGTAGATATAAAAGTCTCCAATCATTATACTGAACAAAAAGAGTGATTGGAAATATGGATGGTTTTGCAGAGGAGCTGTAAAGATGAGCACGTTGTGGAAGCAGAGCCTTACGGTGAAGAAGCAGCGACATGACGTCACAACAAGCATGAAGAACAACTCCATCCCTCCACAGCCACCTCTGCCCTCCTGGGAACTCGCCGCCTTTGTACTATTTCAGGAAGCAGCTCATTAGCGATTCCTCGGTCTCCACAAAGACCACTGGAACACGCTGCTGATTGATTTCAGAGCTGTTCAACTCAAACGGAAACACATTCGCTGGAAAGTCAGCGAAAAGTCAAGACGGGTCAAAGGTGGCCTTTGTTGTCTTTGTGTCTCTTTCATGCTGAAATCCTTCAGTTGGCAGCTTACACGTTCTTACATTGTTCTCCTGTTGTGTTTGTGTGTCTGTGTTAAATACCTTCACAGACATCTGCTCCTTACAGTGAACATGAAATGATGCGTATTTGTTCTTTCTCCTTGGAGATAATCAGCATCCTGTGATCTGAGCGTCTGTAAAGAGTTTAGCAGGTAATAATCAGCAGCTGTGCAGCCTGAATGAGGCAGAAGCCTTGTCGTGTGTTTGGATTTTAACACTCTAAAAGGCATGTTATCTTTCTTAAAAATCATTCAAATGACACCATTAATCAGAGCCGAAACCTGTAAAAACAGAGACACACTGGATTTGCAACACTCCTTGAATGCATCATTCATAATCTGTGGTGCCTTTCGAAAAAAAATAGCCACAAATAGGCCTAAATTGCAATATTTCTGTTAACCCTCCTGTTATCTTTAAGATCAATTTCACTCCATTCAAAGTTTAACATCTCTTAATAAGTGATTGACATTTTTTCAGTTTTATTTAAAGGGCTATTCACACATAAACGATTTTAATTATGACAATTTTCTGGAGGCTTAAATTGCTGGGCTCAAATTGAACCTAAGGATTAAAGATGTCAGTAAATTTGGAGGTAATAGGAGGGTTAATCAAAAACATTTTACTCTACAACTGGTTTTTAAAAAATAACTTTTTGCAACAAATTCTTTAAAAAAAAAATAAAAATCATGAAGCCACTGGAGACTCAGGGAAAAATGTAGGTCCTTCTCAGCTGACCTGCAAGCTGAAAATAAGATATTTAAACAAGAAAATCTAAAACAATATAAAGAGGAGAGAGTTGTTAATATGTTGTAGGAAGAAACATCTTCTTTATATTGCAGTGAAAATGAACCCACAGTCAGTAAAAATGTGACAGGAATGAAGTCAGTTATATTTTCGGCCTACAAATGAGGATTTAAGTTTTGTCTTTGTTTGGTAGCTCTCCATAATAATGAGATTTGCTGGCAGATGGAGAATATAAATCTGGATTTCTCCAACAAACAATCGCCATGGCAACCAGCCAGGCCCGGCACAAATGCAGCAGGAGTCTGCGGGGATCAGAGACACTGACACACTAATGAAAAGCACCGAAGCAACCACAAATCATGGAACACACTCAAATCAGAGTCAAATGAAAATAAACCTGTGAAGGGTTTGGTCATTTTAACTAATTCACCTCCACATGTGCTGCACTGAGAGGGCCGCCGCTTAAAGTGATGAGATCCCATTCACACGCTGTCAGCCGTGGCAAGGTCATCTTTCCTGATTGCACTCTGTCATGTGACACGCGGATGCTGTGTGGTTGGCTGACGGGGATGAATTAGGGATGCTGTGTTTGTCCTGTCACGCTCTGACAACCTGCACATCACCAGCTGCAGCAAGAGCTCAGGAAACATGCTGCTGCGCTGTCGTCATAAATGTGCACACTGGTGCCAAAAACTAAAACGTTTTGTCAGAATTGTGAATATTTTCTTTACAAATGGGAAATTCTCTTTTTTTTAAATTTAGAATAAAAACCAACCTTAGCTAGAAGCCATATTTATGATCCAGTATCTCCAGAAATATAACTTCCAGAGTCCAAAATGTGTTTTTTTTTTTCATTTTCAAGGGCCAATACCTAAAAATGTGGCCTCTGCTGGAGCAGTTCCATGATTTGGTTGTGCTGGAAATGATTTTGTCTGTGTTTTCATCAAATTTCATGGTTGTTGAAGTTATATTTCTTCGAGATACTGAACCTTTAAAACAGCTGAATGACTGAAAACATATGGCATTTTGAAAATTCAGCCAAAAATATTTTACAGAACTTAGCTGTGGGGTCTTAAACAATAAATAACCCTGAACCTAAATGAGCAAAATCTTCCGGACAAGGCATTTTTTATGTTATTTTTTTAGCTAAAATGTAAAACAGAAATAGTTAAAAATGTATCACTAACATCTCTAGCACAATGTCTTCGTGTCTTCTGTCATTTGTGGCCAGAAATTCAAGCAAAAATTCACCATAAATCAAAATTTGGTTTGGATGTGAATAGTTTGGGGCTGAACAGTAAGTATATCTTTTATTATTGGTGAACACAAGAGGGCAGCAGAGCATCAGCTGTATGAAATGGTACAAACCTGCCACTGTGTTGACAAGGAAAGGATCCACTTGTTCAGCTAGAAGAGAATTTAAACCAATGAAAAAACTAAACAAACTCTATTATGTCATGTGAGTCATGTCTGAATGGTTTAACTGAGCTATCA